TATTAACAGGATGTTGGGGGAATCACTTTTTTTCTTTTTTTCATCAAACCGCAATTTTTGCAAGTTCCCTTAATTTTTGCAAATTCCAGCAATTTCATCGCATAAAATTACATAAATATCCCAGATATTCCATCGCATTTTTAAAGAAAACTGGCCGCATAATCAATCAATTTTTGTACGCAACAATCACAAAAAAACTCCGCGTTTTTCTGGAAGGACTGAATATTATTATGGTAAATGTTAAATATAAATCGCAAATTTTTTCACAAATTTTTGGAAATTACCACCACAAAATCAGTCATTTTGATCGCAAAAATCACACAAAAAATCGTGAAATCCTGGAGGGACTGCCTGTTTATAGTTCGAGCCCGATCAAATCCAACCTTGAAGAAGCTGTGTGTGTGTGTGTTACTATTCCTAGGAACAAGTGAAGAGTTCAGATGTAAAAGCCTCTAAATGCCATTTAAATTTTCTTCTAAAATGACCATTTTTATCAAGCTTGTATATTTAAGTTCTGTAATTTCACTTAAATGACAGTTAATAGGTAATCGGTTAATAGGTGCCATTTAAGTGAAATCACTGAACTTAAATATACAAGCTTGATAAAATTGATCATTTTAGAAGAAAATTTCAAATGGCACTTAGAGGCTTTTGCATCTGAACTCTTCAAGTGTCATTATCAGAGATTGACTGAATATTTTTTACAGTGTTAGTAGCAATTTCTTGTCGTTTAATCCTGATCTAGACCATTAAACTCGCTTAGCACCTGCCATGAAACCTTCAAATGGGATTCCAAGTGTTTTTAGTAAACACAGACATCTGGAAACATGCGAACATGCGGCGGGAACATCAGCAGTTTTATCAGAGGCTGTGGACATAGACAGATGGCTTTGAGAAAGCGTGTGTGTGCGGGTGCGCGAGATAAGACGAGACTCGAGCTCTAAATCACCGGTTATCTCCCGCGGACCGCAGCTGCGTGCTAATGGTCATCACAGCGAGCTGACAGCTAACGCTAAAACACACTCCAGGGAGAAGAAACGGCCAGAATAGCACACATCGACCAACAGTTAATAGGCCAATTCAATAACGCAATTACTGGGAAATCACAGGGTGGTTAACCAGCGTAGTTTACATTAAATTAAACATTGACTAACCTTACCTTCAGACAGCAATAGCATCATTGCACATGTAATTAGCTAAGTCAAAGACGCACACAAGCTATATATTTACTGTTCACAAAGTGAAAATCTATTATAACTTCCTTACCATTAGACAGTGCAGATAGTTTTACATCTATCAATTAACTCGAACTGAACTAAATTAAAACTCTGATGATTCATCGATTAATCTGCATCGATTAATCTGTGTTATGGTTTATTAAAACATATTTACGCTACATAAATATTCCTGTTTATTATTGCATATATATAAATGTTAGCCTATATGTTATAAATAAATCTGTATTTAGTGAAAATAGTGCAAAGAAAAAAGATTATGCTATTTTTATGTATATTTTACTGATTAAATCGTTCCTGAATGAAAAAAGACAGCATTTGAATATTTCATAGCAAATATATAAATATAATAAAATATGCATTGAATATAGTCAGATGATGAACAAAACAATCATTGATAAGCAGCAAATCATCATCTTAGAGTGATTTCTGATGGATCATGTGACACTGAAGACTGGGGTAATGATGCTGAAAATACAGCTTTACATCACAGGAATAAATTATATTTTAAAACGGATTCAAATAGAAAAAAGTTATTTTAAATCATAAAACGTTTTCACTATTTTCTGTATTTTTGATCAAATAAACACAGCCTTGGTGAACATGAGAGACTGACTTACTGGTTTAAACTTTAAAGATGAACTGAAGAGCATCTGAACTCTGATCAGCTCTTTCTCTTATAATATGTAAAACGTCTCAGTGTAATAAATGAAAGGAGTGACATGCATGTACAAATACTAACTAGACACTAAAGACTGATGACCAGTTAACGGAATAATTAACCAAACTACAGTCTCTTCAGAAAAAGTTCACAGGGCAGCGCAAACACTTTAAGTGGCTTATAATCGAAGTGTCCTGCAGGTAACAGAGCAAAACGGGATATTTTATCGCTCATCACCTGCCTGTTTTTAATCACTGAATTATTCCAGGTTCAATAATTCCTGCTCTGCTGAAAACATCTGTGACGAGTTTAGTTAAATACATGCTTGGATGTGAATGGGATTTTTTGAAAACATAACATGAGGCTGCTGTGGCAGAATAACTTACCAACTCTGTTTGTGCACTGTCATAATCCAGTGAAAAACACCATGACCAGTAAACCTATAGCAGGAGTTATGGTCCAGGACAATGGCGCAAACTGACACCTGGAAACAAGCCACTGGGGATGAAGAATGTATTATTATGGACAAAAATTAAAGATGCATAAAGTTATACAATTAAATCACACACATATTTTCACTCACTCACTGTCTGACTCACTCACTTACTATCTCACTCACACACTGACCCACTCACAGACTCACTCACTCACTCACACACACACACACTCACTCACTCACTCACTGACTCACTGACTCACTCACTCACTCACACACTCACTGACTCACTCACTGTCTCACTCACTCACACACTCTCTCACTGACTCACTCACTCACTCACTCACTCACCGACTTACTCACTCACTCACTGACTCACTCACTCACCGTCTCACTCACACACTGACCCACTCACTCACTGTCTCACTGACTCACTCACTCTAACTTACCGACTTACTCACTCACAGACTCACTCACTCACTCACACACTCACTCACTATCTCACTCACTCACTCACTCACTCACTCACTCACTCACTCACTCACACACTCACTCACTGTCTCACTGACTCACTCACTGTCTGACTCACTCACTTACTATCTCACTCACCGTCTCACTCACACACTGACCCACTCACTCACTGTCTCACTGTCTCACTCACTCACTCACCGACTTACTCACTCACAGACTCACTCACTCACTCACTCACTGACTCACTCACTCACTGTCTCTCTCACTCACTGACTCACTCACTCACTGTCTCATTCACTCACTCACTCACTCACTCACACACTAACTGTCTCACTGACTCACTCACTCACTCACTGACTCACCGACTTACTCACTCACTCACACACACACTCACTGACTCACTCACTCACTGTCTCACTCACTGACTCACTCATTGACTCACTTACTCACTGTCTCACTGACTCACTCACTCACTCACTGTCTTACTCACTGACTCACTCACTCACTCACTCACTCACTCACCGACTTACTCACCCACAGACTCACTCACTCACTGACTCACTCACTGACTCACTCATTGACTCACTTACTCACTGTCTCACTGACTCACTCACTCACTCACTGTCTTACTCACTGACTCACTCACTCACTCACTGTCTCACTCACTGTCTCACTGACTCTCTCTCTCACACACACACACACACACACACACACACACACACACAGGTCTGAACAGGGAATGTCATGCAGGCGCATTAAGCCTGAACTTTGATGAAAGGCAGCATTGATCAATGCGGTGTAAAGCCTGCAGACCCACAGCTCTGAAGCAACACAACAGCCAATCAGAGTTCTCCACTTTAATTGATCAGTGGGTTTATATAAGACAAAGCCCTAGAACAAAACATGTGAAAAACACCTCGCAGACAAAGTCTCATAATAATGAACGTTATTTGTCTTCATTACAAAAGAAAGTTAAACTCCAAGTTCATTTCAGAGTCGAAAGCAGCAAATAAACGGACAAATCATGTCAATAAAAATGAGGTTGAAGAAATGCTGAAAGCTGGAAGTATGTACCGTTGGGTTTGCCTTCAGCCTGTTCTGACACCATTTATAAAGAACATTTTGGCATTTTAAAATCATCAGTTTGTAAATGGCAACAATGGTGGACTATTAAAGTTTCTAACACAACAACAAACACCTTAAATCTACAGTGGCATTTCCACGAAACCCATTACTCCATATGACCAAAACACACCTCATCATTTCCTGGGGATTAAGGCTATGTTTACACGGAAACGATTCTAAAGAGAAAACGCAAAAGTGGCGTTGCGTCATCACTTTTTATTCTGCGTTTAGACGAGCGTTTTGAGCGGGAAATTTGCGTGCAAATGGTGACGCAAAAGTGTGTGAAATTCAATGTAGTATGCACTCCAGGCGGCTAGGAGTGCATACTACAGCAACACCAAGTCCGCGCGCCTGCGTACAACTTTCACCGTCAATCAGACTTTAACGTTTTTACCGTTTACACGGGAACGCGGCGGTGGAGCGTTTTTAAGATTTCCACTCTGGAGGGTGGTTTCACTTTTTAGCGTTTTTAAGCCTCAAAAACGCCGTCGCCGTGTAAACGAAAGGCACATCCGATAAAATATTTTTACGTTTTCACCCGCGAGCGTTCTCGTGTAAACAGGGCCTCATTATCAAAGAAAAGATGCGCAACCTAATTGAACATTAAACCCAAAATGATTCGGTTCATTTCACACTGTAACCCTTTAAATCCAGGCTGATCTCATTAGTGTTCATACGTATTTGTATGTAAAGTACATGTGCATTTTTTTTTACCATTGGACTTACATTTAGGTTACATTATAGAGTTCCTATTAAGCTTTTTCACAGTCTTGATTTTGTTTTTGGACTCTACTAGTATAAGTTCAACATTTTTTTCCTCAATATTCTCCATTGTTGCGGCTCCTCTCTTCCCAGTTTGTCAGTAACGCTCTGTTTAGTTCCTGTCTCTATGAAGCTCCTCCTTCTGAAAAGCACACTGTGCTCTGATTGGTCGGTTGGATCAGTGTGTTGTGATTGGTCAAGCGATTTGAGTGTGTTTGAGAAATGTCCCGCTCCAGTTTAACACACTACTAACTAACTCAACCAGGCCCCGCCCCTTTATTCAGCGCATGAATTATTATAATGAGGAATATTGTGACGTGTGAAGAAACTCAAGACTACAATGGAGGCGTTTCAGGAGTTCAGAAACACTGACACTGATATAGCTATAGATATAACTCCCACTGGAGGGACTTTGTGCTCAAACTCTTTAATGCATTGATTTTTATCCAAAGCAAACTGCATTGCATTTAAGGCGCACTTTATATCCATTCATGCATTCCCTTGGGACCAAATTTTGGGACCTTTAAATGTTATATTTTGTGAACCAAAATGCTTTTCTGAAGCTGTACATGCCAAAATATTTATGTTGTAATGTATGTCTCTGTGCAATTGTAAAGAAGTCACACTTTACATAACAATACTTATGAATCTCTAATGAGATCACTTTTGTCTTATTATATTTAACTACAAAACTAATGCTAACTTTTTTTTTTAATGTGTGCATTTGTAAAATTGCCCAATGATTCAGGGATCAGTAACAATGAGTCATTTGACAACAACGGGTAAATTGTTAAGTGAACTTAACTATTTAATAATTCCTTTTTTATATATATATATTAAAGTTCTCCAAAGCCGTTTCCTTTCATTTCAGGCACCGCTCTGGATGCACAATAAATAAAGCACAAATAGTTTGTGTGAACACACATGCACAGAAGACAGATCGAGAACGTAAGAGCGCAGCGTGATGATGGAAAAAATGAGAAACACAATTTCAAGAAAATGTCCAGATCATATTTCACCCCTAAATCAAATGAAAGAAATAATGACATTTTCTCTGCAATTTGAATAATATACTGTTTGTGACAAAGTTTAGTAAAAGGATAAATAAAAGGAAAATACTACCATACTGTTGAAATAATACTTAATTATATGCTTATTATACATAAATGCACCAATTATAAATATGAATAAATAAATAAATACATTTAAAATGAAAATTTTGCATTGCTTTAATGTCTCAGAGGGTTTTGAGTTTGTAATTCATTCTCATTTAATAAAAAAATAATAAATTCAAACAAATAGCATAACAAATACTGACATAACGTGAAAATAAAAAATAAACCTATTTTTCGTAATGGTATGAATAAATTAAACAAATGTCATAAATAAACATACATATTATAAAATGACCAAAAAACCCCACTGATTTTCATGTAAATAATATAATTTGAGGTATTATCTCATATAGGCTTAATTTTCTTTAGAAATAAAAAAAGTTCTTACTTTTTCTGTTGATTTTGTGGATGAAATGTGACCTAAACATATTCCTGACATCCTCTGTGAGATTCACTCCAGTTTAAGGACAGAGAAAGTGGCAAAGAAGGCAAGAGAATAATAATAATAATATAAAAAACTGTTTGAATCATTTGCTTCTGCTGATCTGAGAGCCGTTTCAAAGGCTCTCGATGTCCACATCAGTCTGTGAGATCCTTATGCAATTTATACAAACCTCAGTCAGGTTAGAATAAAGGTTGCGTCCATCCGGCGATCCTCGGCATGGCGAGTTCATCCGTCCTGGCGCTCGTGATTATGAATCTCTGTCGTTCTATGAGCTCAGCAGCTTGTCTGCCTCGGGGTAAGTGGGATACTTCACCGTCTCCACCTTCTCCTTCACTTTATAGGACGGGTAGAGGCCGGTGCGTCCCAGTTTGCGGTTGACCCCTTTGGAGTATCCGTCCCAGTGGTTTCCGGCCACTCCGATGACGTCTCCGGGCTCCAGCGGGACGTCCTCGGGCGAGCGGGCCTGGTGTGGGTAGATGGCCATTTGATTGTGTGCGTTCTGTCCACCGAAGTAGTAGATGTCGTCCAAAGAGCGGAAGAAAGTGGAGGCGTCCGGGTGAAGAGTCTGCATGATCTCGTAAGCCACACGGCACACCTGACACACACACAACCACAAGAATGGTGAAATGTGGTTTTCACCATTTTTTTAATTGGTGTTTTTCATCTTTTATATATATATATATATATATATATATTAGGGCTGTGCAAAAGTTAATTGCGATTTATTTGCATCCAAAATAAAAGTCTGTGTTTACATAGTATATTTGTGTGTGCTGTATATAATTATTTTGTATATATAAATACACACACATGCATGTATATGTTTAAGAAAATGTGTTATTCCTATATAAAATATTTATATTTATATAATATAGATTATGTATTTATATATATATACAGAATTTAAGCGCAAATAATTCTTAAATATATACATGCATGCATAGGTATTTATATATACAAATAATTATATACAGCACACACAAATATATTATGTAAAACAGACTTTTATTTTGGATGCGATTAATCGCAATTAACTTTTGCACAGCCCTGTCAGTTTAACGCGTTATTAACGGCGTTAACGCAAACCCATTTTAACAGCGTTCATTTTTTATCGTGCGATTAACGGTTTTTTTGTCCTAGCAAACTTTGTCATTTTTTCACATGCTTTTGCATCCATTTCGGCATCTCGCGCTCGTCATCCACTCAAAGCCGGTGTCGCTGATGATTCATGCTACCCATCAAGATTTGCTACTTATTGGTTATGCGCACGTGCAGACTCACAGTTTTTTTTTTTTTTTTTTTTACAAAAGGCACATTTTCCTGTTATAATATATAATTTCCCTTTAAAAAAAATGCTTACTACCATTTGAATATTTGTACGGTCAGCCAGCTGAAAAGGAATAACTGAAAGTTTCAGTTACTATGAGGAAAGGTGTACTTTGACAAGTCAAAGAAGAATATTTTATGCTAATTTTTACTTTTCACACCGTTTTAAAAATAAAAACAGTAGTCTACAGTACAGTAGCTACTCATAACTTAGAATTGTATTATAATTGTGTTTCATACGACTTTAATCGGCATTCTGTGATCAATTCGCGCTACGGTAGCATTTTTCGACAAGGCAGCAAAAATCGTCAGAACACCGGCTCGCAAGCCCAAACGTGTGTTTGCGTCGTGCCTGTTGTTTTGTTTCCGTTCTAGCTAGATCCGCTTGCGCTTTGGTCGAAGAAGCAACAAAACGAGGACGTTTTGTGCCGCACACACTCGTTTCGGCTTGCGAGCCGGCCAAATAGTAACGTTACGTTTTGAGTGGATGACGAGCGCGAGACGCCGAAATGGATGGATTTTACTTTTAAAAAGTTGCCAAATTATCCCATTGACAAGACCAAGTGATCTGTGGGTTTTGTCATTGTGAACTGAGCGAGTTATTTTCAATAATAATAATAAAAAAAACATTTGCACTAAACAAGCCGATCCACTTTTCCATGTTGACAAGAGCATTAAAATGAGCAAAAAAAATAATGTAACAAAAAATCAAAAGGCATTTAGAATAGATAAAAATGTGCGATTAACAATGACATTAATGCGATTAATCGCGATTAAATATTTTAATCGTTTGACAGCACTAATTTATATATATATGCGTCTGAAACTGAACTCGCGTCTCTATACTGTGATCAATGTAGACAGCGTCATTGATTATAATGGCTTCTGTTTGATTTGACATGGCGTGCAAGTGACTGAACGCCAGTAGGCGGGGCCTATGATGCGATGGCGTACAACTATTCGTCAATGATTGGCACTGGAAAATGTATTTGCCCATGTGACATCACAGATGTAAAACAGATAAAAATATCAAAACGAGCCATTTTTGGAGCTTGATTATGAATCCTATGTTTATAATAAGGATGACGTTTTAAGCTATGAAACTTGCAGGCTGTTTTAATGGTACAAAGACCTCTTATACTGTATGTCAAAGTTGATTTCCCATGAATCCTCTTTAATGTTACCAAATTAAACCTTATTGTAAAGTGTTACTATGTACCTGTGAGGAGAAGGTGCAAACCAGGAAGTCAGTCTGCGACAGGAAGTGGATGTCCAGGATGACGCCTCTGAGGGAGTTCTCCGTGTAACGGTTGTGTAAACTTGCTGACCAAGAGATGGAGTTGTCACTGATGAACTCATAGTCGGCGTACCTGAAAAAACGTTTAAAATATTAAAAATACATTTAACAATAAACGGTATTTTAACAACTTGTGTTGCACATCATTAAAGACAATCCCAGCAGGCAATTTAACGTCCAGTCACTGTTGAATCAACGCAGGTGCCAGTGTTGGATAGCCTATAAATAATGTTGATTTGATGTACAACTCAAAAATATATTGATATTTCTATGTTGAATCCATAGCAAGTTAACAACACCACTTCAACTATTTGGGGTTCAACATTGTTTTGACGTTGAATTAACGTTTTTTCAAAAACTGACATTATTTCAATAACATTTAAAAGTTTAATGTCAGTCGAATGCCAGCTGGGATGTTGTACATTGTTAAAAAAAAAAATGTTATATATATATATATTAAAAAATGTAAAATTGGAGCTTTTTTCCCCTCACACTATTTTCATATTCCAGGTTCAAAATGAAGAAGAAGTTGTTTTAATAATATAGCGCCTTTCCGTAGCTCAAGGTCACTTTAACGTTGTACATTACCGTACATTTACACACACACACACACTCACATAAGGAGGACACATATAGTCACATTATCCAATATACATGTTATATAGATATGAGTCTTCAATGTAGCCACAGATGAGATATTACGCAGTACTTTAACACTAAATGACCTTCCAGCCACAGTAGACAACCGGAAACAAGACAAATTAACATTTTGAGAGATGAAAATAAATCAAAAATATACATTTCATTATATAACTATATGTAAAATGTAACAATTTGTATATGGTTGCGAATAAAATAAATAAATCCCAAACAAATACATTATAGATTTTCATAAATTTACATTTTCAAACTGGAAGATGAAAATAGTGCAAGTGCATAATACATTTAGAATACTGATGACTCATCAAATATACACATTTTCATTATATAACTATACATAAAATATTTATATATGGTTGCAAATAAAATGCATTATAAATAAATAACAACCTATAAATACATTTAAATGTAAAGTCATTTATAAAGTGAAATTTAAAGTGAATTATAGCTCTCACAGGAAATGTGAAAAGCTTATAAAAGCATGTAAAATGTATATTTCTTTATTTTGCTGCATGCAGTGAGAAACTGCAGCGTTCTTTGATGCTTTTAACTCGGTGAGAGCAAAAATAGAGTGACTAGATCAAACGCTGTTTTTTGTGTTTGTCTGTCTCTCTTTCTCTGCACTTTTGTAGCATTTGTCGAAATCCCTTTCATGACTCATAACTCACTTGGTTTTTGCTTCCTGTAACAGCGAGGGGTCGTCGGTGGCCAAATACACGCGTTTTTTATCCACGTGTCCGTCACGTTGGGCCATGTACTGGAACTGTTCCTCCACGTGGACCATGTACTCCTCTATGGGGTGAAACGCGGCCTCCGTCCCGACTTTATCTGTCCGTCTGACATGGACACTGGAAGACAGAGACACGTTTGAGTTTATTCAACTGTTCATATAGTTTATATTTTTTATTTCCTATAATCTTTAGTCACTGTGAAACTCAAGTATATGTATCTTGATTTAAGAATTGTTCGATATTCGTACCATTTTGACAGTGAACCCTTTTTATTTAACCCTAACATATCCAGTTACTTCATGTAAGAAAATCAATTCACTTCAAGTCAATGGAAATTCATCTTTTATATATATATATATATATATGAAGAGTTCAGATGCAAAAGCCTCTAAATGCCATTTGAAATTTTCTTCTTTAATGATGATTTTTGTCAAGCTTGTATATTTAAGTTCAGTTATTTCACTTAAAGGGCACCTATTATGCCCCTTTTTACAAGATGTAATATTGGTCTCTGGTGTCCCCAGAATGTATTTGTGAAGTTTCAGCTCAAAATACCCCACAGTTAATTTATTATAACCATTTGAAAATGTCATTTTGGGGCCTGCTTAAAAATGAGCGGTTTCAGGGGGTATTCCACCTTAAATGCAAATGAGCTGCATATCCCCGCCCTGCCATTGGATGAGGGCGTAACTTGATACCTATGGCAGGCAGTCGGTACTGAGAGAGTGAAGAGACGCGCCGTATTGAATGTCATTCAGAGTACGTTTGAATCGGAATATTTAAATAGTATGAAGAGACTCCGGCAGAATAAACAAATGAGAATGGACCAGTACGTCTCGGTATGGTTATTTGATACTTTTATGTACTTTAGAGTTGTAATCGCGTCCCATTTGAAATGATGGATGTCCAACACACACACACACACACTAGCGCAATTTTTTGAAACTACATATACATTCTGTGATAAAGTTTGCAACGTACGAGCGAAATTACATTTATGCGAGGCACCTGTGGCGTCATGTTTAGCTACTTGTCATAGGTGCTTCTGTGGCAAATGTGAGAAGATGGCTAACTTACAGAACACCAACATATATGCAGTTTTTAATACAATATCTTTAAAAATATATATATTTATAAACGTGTGGTTACACACTATACAAACAAGGTTTAAATTATATACACAGACATCCTATGACGGCAATAACTTTAGATGCATTTGTTATTGAATTGGCTGACATTGACTGAAAAGACTATTTGCTCAAAAATCATAAAATACACGTACTGTTACTGGAGGTGACGGTGGATCGCAAACAGTAGACGACAATCCACACTTGAGGATTAACTTTTAAGCCACAACAACAGGATTAACCCACGAGTCCACGACAGAACATAAATTTACGTTTCCAAGAGACATTACCGGCTGTCGTCGTTGAAACAATGAAGGATGGTGTGTACAGATCACCGAGGGCGGGGTCTAGGCCACAGCCACACTGTCAATCAACCCCCTGTCTCCCGTTCTACGTCACAAAGACCTGGATCTCAGAACAGCTCGTTCTGAGGCAGTGCATATGATTTATTGAGATTGTAAAAAAACTACTGGATGGATTTTTATCATTCTAGGGTGGTTTTGCTCACACACTGCCAACACACATTTATGTTCAAACACCATGTAAAAGTGAATTTTCCATAATAGGTGCCCTTTAAATTGCAATGATAATTACCTATTAATTGTTATTTAAGTGAAATTACTGAACTTGAATATACAAGTTTGACAAAAATCATCATTAAAGAAGAAAATTTCAAATGGCATTTAGAGGCTTTTGCATCTGAACTCTTCATATATATATATATATATAATTTGCCAGGTAAGTCTTAAAGTCTGATGATTTATCAGTAAAAATAAGTACTAGCTCAGAAAGAAAGAAAGAAAGAAAGAAAGAAAGAAAGAAAGAAAGAAAGATTCGGTAGAAAGAAAGAAAGATAGATATATTAGTTAGGTAGAAAGAAAGAACGATAGATTAGTTAGAAAGAAAGATGGATAGATTTGTTAGAAAGAAAGATGGATAGATTAATTAGAAAGAAAGAAAGATTAGGTAGAAAGAAAGAAAGAAAGAAAGAAAGAAGGATAGATTAGTTAGAAAGTAAGTAATAAAGAAAGAAAGAAAGAAAGAAAGATAGATTAGGTAGAAAGAAAGAAAGAAGGATAGATTAGTTAGAAAGTAAGTAAGAAAGAAAGAAAGAAAGAAAGAAAGATAGATAGATTAGGTAGAAGGGAAGAAAGAAAGATGGATATATTAGTTAGGTAGAAAGAAAGAAAGAACGATAGATTAGTTAGAAAGAAAGATGGATAGATTTGTTAGAAAGAAAGAAAGAAAGAAAGAAAGATTAGGTAGAAAGAAAGAAAGAAAGAAAGAAAGAAGGATAGATTAGTTAGAAAGTAAGTAAGTAATAAATAAAGAAAGAAAAATAAATAGATTAGGTAGAAAGAAAGAAAGATGGATAGATTAGTTAGGTAGAAAGAAAGATTAGTTAGAAACAAATAATGAAAGAAGGATAGATTAGTTAGAAAGAAAGAAAGAAAGAGATTAGTTAGAAAGATAGATTAGATAGAAAGAAAGAAAGATTAGTTAGAAAGAAGGATAGATAGATAGATAGATAGATAGATAGATAGCAACAAACACATGATTCGAAGAACGACACATGCACTGATCTTCAACACTTCACTGATGATTTACATATTGTTAATCAATAAAACTGCATTCATATTAAACTGACAGGAACATTGAGCAGAAATCAAATCCTTCGTATGTACCAAACACATTAGTATTAGTCCATCTCTCTCTTGTCATCTGATCTCTATGCTTCATTGTAGATTTACTTTATTACATTATATTTGGGTTATTATATTTCACAGCGCTGTCATGAGAGAATGATGCTCCCGTGGGGCCGCAATCATTCAATTCTCAGTTATTCTCATTAATTTCATCATGATTGTGAGCCATGTTCATTGTCATTATCATGTGTCATCATCTTTCAGCGTAACACCCACCAGACGCGTCTGCCACGGGCACAGATAACACACACACACACACACAGAATGTGAGAAGACAAATAAAATGATGATCTGATAGACTGAGAGAAGATGAGAGATGTACCGACCCAATAATCGGGTGTTTAAAGCCCAGTTTGACACAGGTTTCCTGGATCTCCTTCTCCAGCCAGGCCTGAGGTCGGACCAGGTACTTGACGAACTGAGACACCCACCAGACGGACGGGTCACCGTGCAGACGCTGCAGTCGAGGAGCAAGGTCTTCTGGGATAGCGAGTGGAAGGTACGGGGGTCTGGGGTGAAGGCTGTCGACAATGGGCAGCTCCACCACCTGAACGTCCCGGTCATGAGCCTCACCTGCACAGAAACACACTACATCAGCATTTCAAAGTTTAAAGTCGGCATGAAACGGAAGTTGCGGTGCTCTTTTCTTCCCAGTAAAAAGGTATAAAAGCTGTCACTGGGGCTGTACCTTTTCAAAAGCTAAACTTTTGTCCGTTTTAGGTGCTAATATGTACATTTTAGGTGTTACTATGTACACTTTAGGTGTTAATATGTCAATTTTAGGTGATAATATGTGCATTTTAGGTGCTAATATGTGCATTTAAGGTGCTAAGAAGTACATTTTAGGTGTTAATATGTGAATTTTAGGTCCTAATATGTACAGTTTAGGTGTTAATATGTCCATTTTAGGTGCTAATATGTCAATTTTAGGTCCTAATATGTACATTTTAGGTGTTAACATGTCCATTTTAGGTCCTAATATGTATATTTAGGTGCTAATATGTACTAATATGTACATTGTAGGTGTTAATATGTACATTTTAGGTGTTAATATGTGCATTTTAGGTGTTAATATGTGCATTTTAGGTGCTAAAATGTACATTTTAGGTGCTAAAATGTACATTTTTAGTGATTATATGTACATTTCAGGAGCTAATATGTCATTTTAGGTCCTAATATGTATATTTTAGGTGGAATACTTGATTCTGATTGGTCAATCGTGCTTCCATATTCCTAGAAAACAACCTCTGAAAACTGGGTCACTAGTTGTGCTTTTGGTGAGCTAATAAAATATAAAATATAATACAAAAAAACTCAGTCGAATCATTATTTTGAGTACAGTTATTTAATTATGCCACCCAGTATCGTGGACTCGCTCTCTCTCGTTTCACACAACGCAGCGGCTGCCATTTTGTGTCTATTGTTTTGTACACTGTTGGATTATAAAACAGGCATGATTTTAAAACGGTTTAATCTGAAATCAATATCTCTAATCCCCATAATTATTTATGTGGCGAAATTCTGTGTGCTAAGTGATATGAATGACTGTATAAATGTCCGTCTAGTTTGAACTTGACTCAGATCAATATTTTGTGTCTAATTATTTACTTACGTGGCAAATAGCCGTGTAATAAGCGTGATTATGTATACCCAGCGAAGAATAACCCCCCGACATCATCCCTTACATAAACTTTAAGTTACATAAATGATGGTATGTTCCTCAAATAAATTTAACATCTGTCCTGACAGCACACATATCATATAGACCACTTTTATGCGACCCTCGTGGTCATTTTTTGAAACTCAACAGAGTCTTTCCGCATCTAGTTTTATTTGACGGAAAATAGCAGAAATGTAATAAATTTTGAAACGACATGGTCACTTTGCTAGCTGGGTGAAACAATAGATGCTGGGAGAAACGGTTCATTTTTAATTGGATGGAGCCTTTTTTTTTAAATCAAACCTTTGTTGAATAAAACACTGAGCTAATCACAATGCATTCCGGGATTGCAGAAACATGCAACGCTGCCAAAATGGCCAAAACAAAGCATTTATCTGCCTACTGCATTGCCAATGATGCTTTCAAGGTAGAAGCTCAATAGAATTTGAAAGAGAGCCGCGGCATTAGCATCAAGTAGCTCAACCTGGCACCGCTCACTCAACCCATCTATCATGATTTCAAGATGCAAATGTTTGATACAGACAACAAACCATCTTTTAAAGCACAACCAACTCACAATGCATCTAGCAGAGGTAACAACAAAGAAAACGTCCAATGTGCATGAGAAATCTCCTGTTTTTTTTAGCAGTCACACCTGAAGACCATCGCTCACTCCTATCTGCATGCACCTGTGTGCTCCTAACAGGAGAAATACAGCCCAAAACATGCTTTTGTGCTCAATTCTTCAGCCATGTGAGTTCATTAGCCAGTAACTGTAGGCTGCAAGCCGTTTTAGCTTTTATTCATTTCCAGGATATGAATTCTTGATAACAATTTAATTGCTGATATCTGTAGTGAAATGTCACCATAGGCTGCCATTCAAAATCAATTGTTTATATCAAGAATTGATATTTTAATAGTAGAAATATAATTTTTGATATCAATAATTACATTGCTACTAGTAAAAATATGAATTCCTGATATCAATTATTAAATTGTCACTAGTTGAAATATCTATTCTTGATATCAAAAGTTCAATTGTTACTAGTAAAAATGATAATTATTGATATCTGAAAATGTATTTCTGATATCAATATTATTTCAGATATCTAAAATGGCTTTCTTACTAGTAACAATCACATTCATGATATCAGAAATTAAAATTGTTACTAGTAAAAATTGAATTATTGATATCAAAAATGAACATTGTTACTAGTAGCAATTCAATTGTGGATATCAAGAATAGACATTTCAACTAGTAACAATTGAATTCTTGATATCAAAATTAACTGTAAAATTTTTTTTCAAGATTTATTATCACAACATATTTTCTTTTGTCAAATCAACTTTATAATAATTTATTTAGTTGAGATAACTTATTATTTTGAGTTTCTGATGATTAAATTAATCTCCTTCATTGTATTAACTCACTTTTTCCAGTTCAATCAACTTAAAATTTTAAGGCAACCCAGGTTACTTACTTTTTTAAGTTAAACCAACAATATTTTTTACAGTGTAGTAATCACAAAATTTTTTCATGTGTCAAATCAACTTAAATAATTTATTTAGTTCAGATAACATATAATTTTGAGTTTCTGATGATTAAATTAATCTCCTTCATTGTATTAACTCACTTTTTCCAGTTCAATCAACTTAAAATTTTAAGGCAACCAGGTTACTTACTTTAAGTTAAACCATCAATATTTTCAGTGTACTTGTAATAATTGTATTTCTGATATGTAAAATTGGTATTTCAACTAGTAAGAAATCGATTCTTGATATCAACAATTGGTTTTGAATGGTGACATTTCACTAGTGAAAATACAACTGTTGATATCAAGAATTAAATTTTTGATATCAAAAATTTGTATTGTTGATATCAAGAATTCATATCCTGGAAATGAATAAAAGCTAAAACAGCTTGCCATTTACCTCTTGCATAACCTAAGCTTGAGTTTTCATCAATAAACGCTCGACCTGTCACAGGTTTTCATAAATGTTTGATGCAGATGTCGACTGTGGCGTTTAACTGCATTAAAGCGTTGCATGGTTTATGTGGTTGCCGTGCAGATGCAAAGTCACCCCTGAGAAATAAAGACTGATTAGATTTAATGGTGCAGTTTGTGTTAGACGGGGCAAAGGAAGGACAAGAGCGCGAGAGGACGGCGGAGGGAGGAAACCAGAGAGACTTTGATCTGAAGAAATATTCCCAAAGTGTTCTGGAGGCCAGTTTCTACAAAAGTCGCCAAGGTGACCCGTTTCAGTGCTACACACACACACACACACACACTCCCTCGTGCTGGAATGACTGGCGCTGGTCTCGGGGCAGAAGTCTGGACACGTCAGATTAAGCAGGTCACTTACCCGGAGTCCTTTCACAAACACCCTCCAGAGAAACAGAGACACAGGCCAGAAGAAAGAGCCAGAGAGGCAGGAGCTGTGGATGTTTATTCAGTGGATAAATACAGCTCATAAAATTAAAAATCATTAACTCACCCTAGCCTGGCTGGAACATGCTACTCTTTTCTATTCAGTGAAAATGAAGGGATAGATGCCGTCAAGCTCCGAAAATACATACAAATATTACTAATACGTATTATAAAGAGAACTAGAATAGGTTTTCATGCTTGAATGTTTCAAAAACACACTATTTTCCTCAATATTCTCCATTGTTGCGGCTCCTCTCTTCCCAGTCTGTCAGTAACGCTCTGTTTAGTTCCTGTTTCTATGAAGCTCCTCCTTCTGAAAAGCACACTGCGCTCTGATTGGTCGGCTGGATCAGTGTGTTGAGATTGGTCGCGTTTGGGAAATGTCCCGCTTTCCCCATAACCGCCAGTTTAACACACTACTAACTAACTCAACCAGGCCACGCCCCTTTATTCTGCGTATGGATTATTTAAATGAGGAATATTGCAAATGAGCCATTTGTTTATTTCATACACTCTAAAAAAATGCTCCAAAGTTGGGTCAAATATGGACAAACCCAACTACTGGGTTAAAGATTTAAATATAAGACTTAACCCAACGGCTGGGTTTGTCCGTTAAGTCTTATATAAATGTACCACATCTATCACACTTACAATTAGCGTGTATAGTACGGAAACTTTCTGTTTACCAATTAACAGTTTTGTGCTGCAGTGTTTTTACCGTTTTACCATTAAAATCACGATTATTTTTTACAGTAATAAAAATGATTGTGATTTTAATGGTAAAAGACTGTGTAAAACTGTTAATTGGTTAACAGAACCTTTCTTATACGGTAAATAACTGTGATAGATCTAATGGTAAATTTCATGTAATTTTACTGTAAAATACCGTTAAATTTACAGTTTTTAAAGTAAAAACGAACAACTCATTGTATAAATTTACAGTGAAAACCCGTAAATTGACATTCCCACAATTCCCTGCGTGATGCTTTCGCATTTGATGTATATTTTTGTTGAAATAGCTTGTTTCATAGTTTGCTTAGTCTTTTTCTAATCTGTTATGTGCATTAGGGTTTTATGTGACATTTAAATGTTTATTGCTTTTTTAAAATTTCATGTGTCTTACCATGATGGTGTTTAATGTTTGAGTGAATCACACTGTGCAGCTTCTATATATTAATATTAAGACTCTTGTGGAAGAGTTGCATTGTGAACTTCCATATATCATGTGTCTCATCACTGCTGTGATTGTTGTTTAAAACATACATTAATACTTCAATTGGTTGATAATTTAACAGTATATCAGATAATAGTCTGTAAAATCATGTTACCGTAAAAACTTGCTACACTGTAAAAAATAAAACCGTAAATTTTATGGTAAAAAAACAGCAGCTGTGGTTGCCAGAACTTTACCATTAAAAATACGGTAGGAACGTTAACGGTTTTACAGAATTACAGTAATAAACCGTATTTTTTTTTCTGATAAAATGTTGATTTACCAACTTATTGATATCTGTTTTAGACCATTGTAATACACTGACAACCATCAATCATCACAGCAGTGATGAGCAATCACAGCTCATCATAAGTGATTACTTACTTAAGTACTACTTATTTAAGAAGCTGCACAATGTCATTCACACAAACATTAAACACCAGCATGGTAACACACATGAAATTAAAAAATGCAATAAACATTCATTTAACAACATTAAATGTAACATAAAACCCTAATGTACATAACTGATTAGAAAAAAAAACAATAAAACGATGAGGAACTATAGTTATTTCAACAAAAATACATCAAATGTGAAGTGTCACACAGGGAATTGTGTGGGAATGTCAATTTACGGTTTTTCACTGTAAAATATACAACGATTTGTTCTTTTTCACTTTCAAAAACTGTAGATTTAACGGTATTTTACTGTAAAATTATATCACAGTTATTTACCGTATAAAGTACGGAAACTTTCTGTTAACCAATTGACAGTTTTGCACTGTAGCATTTTTACAGTCTTTTACTGTTAAAATCACGGATATTTTTTACATTGTACCGTAAAGTTCTGGCAATAACAGCTGCCGGTATTTTACCGTAAATTGAACATATTTTTTTTTTTACAGTGTATGTTCCGCACATAAATATGACAAATGACCTAAGAAATGACCTACTGTGTCTGCGTTCACTTTCAATTGACAGAAACTCTGTTTTACTGAACTAAAAAGACACGAGGGTGAGTAAATGATGACGCCATGTTCATTTCTGTGTGAACTTTTCTTGCTATACTGTCACATTATTAGAGGAATGAAGGCGTTCTGATTAGCCTTGAACTGAGTTTACAAACCGCCAATGAACCGAAGCAGAACACGTTGGGGAGAAACAGCGGCTTTGTTTTAATAGTTTGTCAAAAAACTAGTTAAAGCGGGTCTGCTAATTATGACCGTTAGCTGAACACGGCTTTGACGTTCCCAACCGCAAAAACCAACTGACAACTAGCTCATTAAAACTCTCCCTAACAATTACACAACAACAACAGCGGCGGCCCGCCGGCTGTTTTACGGCCGTTCCACGAGCAAGTGCACACGTGATCCCGAGTGTGCTTGAAATTTTAATTAGGTAAAGCATGAAATATTTAAGAAAAAAACTCCCAAGCCATTCCCAGGCTCGTGTAAAAGCACTCGCAGCTCTTTTACTGCCTTTTTTTCACGCGGCTGGAATGGGTTTTGACAAGAATCCTCAGATAATCTATTCCCTCAACAGATCCTCAGCTGTAATAATTAGGACACAAAGAAGAGAGGAAATTTTCACATGTCCTCATTACACTTAAATATATCGGTCTTGTACTAGAGCGTCACACTTTGTCTGTTTAGCTTTAGGAGCATTAGAGAAGTGGACTCTAGTTCACACACAAATACAGCTGCACAAATTCTTGTTAAATATGACATGATGGGCTCAGCACTTTTATATATAGCACATTTGCCATTACAAGGAATACAATTACAATCTGATCTTAAAGGGATACTCCACTTTTTTCCTCCCTCAGAGTTAAATAGTTGAGTTTGAACATTTTCAAATCCATTCAGCCGATTTTCTGATATTTAGAAGAATATCAGTAACCAGACAGTTTCTGGTCTCATTGACTTCCATAGATACTATGAAAGTCAATGAGACCAGAAACTGTCTGGTTACTGATATTTTTCTAAATATCAGAAAATCGGCTGAATGGATTCGAAAACGGTAAAACTCGACTGTTTAACTCTGGGGGAGTTGTAAAATGAGCCTATTTCCAAAAAAAGTGGAGTATCCCTTTAAGTTAATTTAAAATGGATTGAGAAATGTTCATTTAAAAGTCTATTAAACTGAATACCAAGGAAAGAGAAAACAATTAAATCAATGCAGCACTGTTTTTAATTGGAGAATGCAGAAAAAGAGATGTGTTTTAATTAGAGATGCTCTGCCTCTTGTGTCTTTAAAGCGTTAGTTGTCGATGTCGACTCGTCAGTGTGACGCAGCCACAATGCACTGAAGGACCGGTTCGGATCCGGAAAGAGAAATGATTAGTTCATCGAGTCTCGAGTCTTCGGGTTCGGCCGGGTACAAGTCTACAGGACGAACGAAAGACTCTGACCCGTCCCGAACCCGAAGACTCGAAAGAGATGAACTAATCATTTCTGTTTCCAGGCTAGATGTCTCGTCCGCGCTGCTGTCCACACTGGCGGCCATCTTGTCACAGGCAGCTCGCTCACTTGTGACATTGTGTTTAAAGGGATACTCCACTTTTTTTTGGAAATAGGCTCATTTTACAACTCCCCCAGAGTTAAACAGTTGAGTTTTATCGTTTTCGAATCCATTCAGCCGATTTTCTGATATTTAAAAGAATATCAGTGACCAGACGGTTTCTGGTCCCATTGATTTTCATAGTAAAACTCAACTGTTTAACTCTGAGGGAGTTGTAAAATGAGCCTATTTCCAAAAAAGTGGAGTATCCCTTTAATGGTGTGTGTAGTTGCTCAATTTTCGGTTTGGTTTGTTATAAACGTCAGAGATGTAGTTATGACACTGAACACTTATGAATAATAAGTGTCTCAATAAATAAATCATCCATAATTATAGCCACGTTAAACCTGTCACCGGTGGGACGCTTGCCATTATATTTTTAAAACAATAATATCTTAGAAAAGACCTTAAGTTATATTGACAAACTATATATCATTTGAAAGCTTACAATCTCTAGTTTCCATATTTGGTGACTGATTTTCAAAATAATTTACACAGGAGCCGTAATTTATCAATTTGCAACAAGAATATTTTCATACTCATAAAGCGTGTTCAGACCTTTATTTTGAAATAGCAATGAACATGAAAAATCATGAAAAAAAGTTAGAAACCTCAGTTTGATTTCATGCCAAGAGTTCAAAAGATAGCATCCATTCAATTATTTTAGAAAGAAAAAGGTCTGAAAATTTTTTAAATATTACAAAAAAAAATAAAAAAAATACACCATTTGTGTTATGGCAATAAGCTATAACGCGCATGCGTGTTCTTTGTATGTGATTCCTAGAGGTTGAATTCATATCAAAATCTGCCAAACTTCCCATACTACTTCTGAATAGGATTTCTACTTCATAAATTGTGTAAAATTTGTGAAAATTACACATATGGAAATGGAGGCGCCCTTATATGGGCTGTAATGGAGTCTGGTTGTGGAAGCGTCCTAGTGGAAGCGTTCGGTACTGCGCCCAAACAAAATCTCACTGAAAGCTCATTTTTTTGAGATATCAACCTAAAATTTAAAACACAACTTGTTCAGATTTTTGGCTTTGATTTTTCTGCAGTTTTAGAGTAGCCCAGGTTTTGAAAATATATATTTTATATAAAATATGAATAATTAATTTTGTTTACATTGTACATTTCTATAAACTCAAACTTCTATAACTTTCACTTTCTTAATTTATTTCACTTCGAGAAAAATCTGCCAAATGTCTTCTTTAAAACGGGACCAATCTTCCGTCTATATTCCAAAGCATTCTTGAATTACAACCATTTAAGTTTGAAATGAGCATTTCCATGTCTTTTCAAAAAAGGGTTAATAGTGTTCCTAAGAAACCGAACCGTTTGTAAATCCGTCAAGATTTCAACGAGATAAGAGTGTTCGTGCTGATCACTCATCTTTCATCAGGAACCACTGAGCCCGCCAGAAAGCTTGCCTGTGACAAGATGGCCGCCAGTGATGACGATAGGGGCTCCGCCGTAAGACATCTAGCCTTTATTATTATGGATATCCATGTTCATGTGCATATTAAAGTTATTAAAATCGTTCAAGTCACAATAGGGAAGAAAAAATTATCTCAACTTCGGTTTCATGCTGACTTTAATAAAGAGATATGCTGATTTACAGCTCTCACCTGACCAGTGTCCCGTCGTGGCTCCGGATCGGTCCGTACAGGTGTCGCTGACGGGAAGGAAGGCCGCCTCCCATCCTTTAGGAGCGTAGCGCCAGTTGTGCGACTCGAGGATGAGAACTCTCTGCGTGCCGTAAGCGATCATGAAGCAGTAAACCACGTGATGGAGCTGACAGCCGTATCCGCAGCCCTTATTGATGTTACACACCAGCTTACGAGCTTTACTGCAATCCTGCGGGTTCTGATCCGGACAGACGACACACATGACAGATGCAACTCAAATATGACTGCATTTTAGATCAAATGACTTTGTAAACTTCACTTTTAAAAACACTTTTGCTGATAATTTACTCACCCCCATGTCATCCAAGATGTCCACGTCTTTCTTTCTTCAGTCGAAAAGAAATTAAGGTTTTTGATGAAAACATTCTCCATATAATGGACTTCAATGGGGTCCAAACGGTTCAAGGTGCAAAAGACAGTTTCAGTGCAGCTTCAAAGGGCTTTAAACGACACCAGACGATGAATAAGGGTCTTATCAAGCGAAACGATCGCTCATTTAAAAAATAAATATAAAAGTTTAAGTTTTATAAGCTCAAATGGTCGCCTCGCTCTGTTCTGAGATGCGCGTTCGTGACTCTCCTGTTCCATCAAAATGAACGAATCTTTTTTCGAGTCATTTGGTTGATTCAACAACCGAAATGAATGAAATGACTTGTAAAAAGATTTGTTTTAAGTGTTGTTTGCAGCCCTTTTGGACCTTGAACCGTTTGGACCCCATTGAAGTCCATTATATGGAGAAAATCTTGGAAAGTTTTCAATGTTTTTCGACTGAAAAAAAAAAAAAAGACATGGACATCTTGGATGACAAGGGGGTGAGTAAATTATCAGCAAATTTTTTTTTTTAAAAGTGAACTACTCTTTTAAAACGTTCCAAAATCATTTTTTTTTCAATAGCACGGTCACATTTATTACATACATAAATTACAGATTTCTTTCTATTAGATACATTTCAAACTAAATCTTTTTAACTGTGTTCACTGAAGAATCCTGTAAAACGTGCATCACTGTTTCCAGAAAAAATATGAAGCGCACAACAGTTTTCACCATTGATAATAATCATAAATGAGCATCAAATCATCATATTAGATTGATTTCTGAAGGATCATGTGACACTGAAGACTGGAGTAATGATGCTGAAGGTAAATTAGAGGTTAAAATAAACTAAAATAGAAAATAATTGTAATAATATTTAACAATATTATTTTTATTAAATAAATCCAGCATTGGCGAGAGTCGAAGAAACTTCTTTGAAAAACAAGAGAAAAAAGAAAAATCGTACAGACCCCAAACTTTTGAACGGCATAGTGTAAATAATAAACAAAAAGCAAAATAAAATCCACGAATAAATAAGAAAATAAAATGACAACGCTGCTGAAGCTTCTTGCCCTTCTTGAAGGAGATTCCATATTAATTATAATTGTACAGCGCTAACAAAAACTCTCTTTCTTTATTTATTTATTTAGATGGGACAATAAATACGCCGGATTTAGCACAATGCTAATTTCCATCCGTTGTCCCCTAACACAGACAAATACAATCCAAAAACAGACACACAATATACATAAACAAAACACATGTGAAATTAAAAAAAAAATATATAAATAAAGAATATTAATAATCATAAAAGTTCCTATAGCCCTATCTTATAGAGAATGTATTGAAAAAACGCCTATATGTAGACATTCCAAGATGTTTATTATACATTTTTAAAATAAATCTATGTATCAAATTCAACCTTTATACTAAATGATTACATTGAGCTAAAGTATTGGGCAGGAATTATAGTTATCCTAAAACACACAATTGTAAAAGATGAACAGACTCTGTGTGTCCGGCAAGGGAATCTCTGCGCTCACAGCTTATTTCCCCTCAGAAATGCTTTTTCAGTTTTATTGTGCCATTAGAGGAAATGAGTTACGATAATCAAATTGTCTGGCGGCCCTGGAAAGTTTTTTTTTTTGTGCGAAGGCAATATAGATTTCACTTCTAATTCAAACCCAATCCAGTTGGCACAGAGTTTGCCATGGCAGCAGATGAAGCACTCTCATTTTAAAGTGCTGCCCTAGCAGAACACACTTCCAGACATGTGATGCAGAGATGATATGGAAATCAGTGATCAGAGACGATCTGGTGTAAAGCGTATGGTAGTGAATGATAACCAGATCTTTCCTGCAGAGAGAAACAGACACTGTGCTTGTGCTGGTATTAGAGCTATGGCTTATCATCTAGTAAAGCACACATATTGTGAAAAATGATTAGATGTCAGTATTGGATGAAATAATTTACTTAGATTTGCCCTCAACACAGACTACAACTGCTGTTAGCACCAAAATATTATGCAGCAAAAACCTTTTTTTTACAACAATTATTATTAATAACTGAGTGAGCACCAATGAAAATGTTAACAACTGAGAAGCAAATGATTTTTGAAAGATCATCGATGCAAAAAAAAAAATATATATATATATGAAGAGTTCAGATGCAAAAGCCTCTAAATGCCATTTGAAATTTTCTTCTTTAATGATGATTTTTTATCAAGCTTGTATATTTAAGTTCAGTAATTTCACTTAAATGGCAATGATAATTACCTATTAATTGTTATTTAAGTGAAATTACTGAACTTAAATATACAAGTTTGATAAAAATCCTCATTAAAGAAGAAAATTTCAAATGGCATTTAGAGGCTTTTGCATCTGAACTCTTCATATATATTCATCAAAAGTATTTTTATCTTGTTTTCCAGCACAGATATCTAAACATTCTTAAATCAAGATTTGTTTACTTGAGATGCGATATTAAGACTTCGTTCTCTGAAAAAAACTTATTATAAAACTTATTAAACTTATTATCAAGATAATTTGACTTCATTTTGATAAATAGTCCCCAGCTCTGTAACTTCTAACGTGACCGGGACTAAGTTTGTGTAGTTTCAGTTGGCAAATTAGGCGCTGCGTCATATCCTTACGCCTGCTGCGTAAAAAAGTTTCTTGATTATTACGCAGGAATGAGAGTATAGTTCCTAGCCATTTCAGCCTAGAAAATCACAACTGTACATTTTCCTTCGGTCTTAGTGCACAATGTAACTACAGAAGAGTCAAGTTATAAATATGAAAAATATCGAAAGTCTTTGATCATTTTTTTTTTTTGAGAAATGCTAATGTTCTTGTCCACTTCTATGATGTATGCTAAGCTATGCTAAAAGTGGTACCGCCAGAACCGGGGATCGGCTGAATGGATTCAAAAACGGTAAAACTCGTAAAATGAGTTTTGTAAAATGAGCCGAAAAAATATCGAAACTCTTTGGTCATTTTTTTTTTTTTTGAGAAATGCTAATGGTCTTGTCCACTTCTATGATGAATGCTAAGCTATGCTAAAAGTGGTACCGCCAGAACCGGGGATCGGCTGAATGGATTCAAAAACGGTAAAACTCGTAAAATGAGTTTTGTAAAATGAGCCGGAAAAATATCGAAACTCTTTGGTCATTTTTTTTTTGAGAAATGCTAATGTTCTTGTCCACTTCTATGATGTATGCTAAGCTATGCTAAAAGTGGTACCGCCAGAACCGGGGATCGGCTGAATGGATTCAAAAACGGTAAAACTCGTAAAATGAGTTTTGTAAAATGAGCCGGAAAAATTTCGAAACTCTTTGGTCATTTTTTTTTTGAGAAATGCTAATGTTCTTGTCCACTTCTATGATGTATGCTAAGCTATGCTAAAAGTGGTACCGCCAGAACCGGGGATCGGCTGAATGGATTCAAAAACGGTAAAACTCGTAAAATGAGTTTTGTAAAATGAGCCGGAAAAATTTCGAAACTCTTTGGTCATTTTTTTTTGAGAAATGCTAATGTTCTTGTCCACTTCTATGATGAATGCCAAGCTATGCTAAAAGTGGTACCGCCAGAACCGGGGATCGGCTGAATGGATTCAAAAACGGTAAAACTCGTAAAATGAGTTTTGTAAAATGAGCCGGAAAAATTTCGAAACTCTTTGGTCATTTTTTTTTGAGAAATGCTAATGTTCTTGTCCACTTCTATGATGAATGCCAAGCTATGCTAAAAGTGGTACCGCCAGAACCGGAGATTGGCTGAATGGATTCAAAAACGGTAAAACTCGTAAAATGAGTTTTGTAAAATAAGCCGGAAAAATATCGAAACTCTTTGGTAATTTTTTAGTTTGAGAAACGCTAATGGTCTTGTCCACTTCTATGATGTATGCTAAGCTATGCTAAAAGTGGTACCGCCAGAACTGGAGATCGGCTGAATGGATTCAAAAACGGTAAAACTCGTAAAATTAGTTTTGTAAAATGAGCCGAAAAAATATCAAAACTCTTTGGTCTTTTTTTTTTTTTGAGAAATGCTAATGGTCTTGTGTTTTCTATGATGTATGCTAAGTTATGCTAAAAGTGGTACCGCCAGAACCGTAGATCGGCTGAATGGATTCAAAAACGGTAAAACTCGTAAAAAGAGTTTTGTAAAATGAGCCAGAAAAATATCGAAACTCTTTGGTCATTTTTTTTTTGAGAAATGCTAATGTTCTTGTCCACTTCTATGATGTATGCTAAGCTATGCTAAAAGTGGTACCGCCAGAACCGGGGATCGGCTGAATGGATTCAAAAACGGTAAAACTCGTAAAATGAGTTTTGTAAAATGAGCCGGAAAAATTTCGAAACTCTTTGGTCATTTTTTTTTGAGAAATGCTAATGTTCTTGTCCACTTCTATGATGAATGCCAAGCTATGCTAAAAGTGGTACCGCCAGAACCGGAGATTGGCTGAATGGATTCAAAAACGGTAAAACTCGTAAAATGAGTTTTGTAAAATAAGCCGGAAAAATATCGAAACTCTTTGGTAATTTTTTAGTTTGAGAAATGCTAATGGTCTTGTCCACTTCTATGATGTATGCTAAGCTATGCTAAAAGTGGTACCGCCAGAACTGGAGATCGGCTGAATGGATTCAAAAACGGTAAAACTCGTAAAATTAGTTTTGTAAAATGAGCCGAAAAAATATCAAAACTCTTTGGTCTTTTTTTTTTTTTTGAGAAATGCTAATGGTCTTGTGTTTTCTATGATGTATGCTAAGCTATGCTAAAAGTGGTACCGCCAGAACCGTAGATCGGCTGAATGGATTCAAAAACGGTAAAACTCGTAAAAAGAGTTTTGTAAAATGAGCCAGAAAAATATCGAAACTCTTTGGTCATTTTTTATTTTATTTTGAGAAATGCTAATGGTCTTGTGTTTTCTATGATGTATGCTAAGCTATGCTAAAAGTGGTACCGCAAGAACCTGGGATTGGCTGAATGGATTCAAAAACGGTAAAACTCGTAAAATGAGTTTTGTAAAATGAGCCGGAAAAATATCGAAACTCTTTGGTCCGCCAGAACCAGAGATCGGCTGAATGGATTCAAAAACAGTAAAACTCTTTTGTAAAACGAGCCTATTTCTAAAAAAGTGGAGTATCCCTTTAAAGTGACAGCAGCCTAATATACCTGCTGCCAAATTATGAGATCTATATGTCAGCTTTTCCCCATGGTATCAATGTCAAAATAGTGTCCAGTGAAAATGCTGAGTGGCTTTAGAAGGATGCGTGTTCTGTACCTGCAGGTATGAGATCCTGTTCTGCACCAGACTGGACAGATCTCTGGCCTCCTTCTCTCTCCACTCCCCGGCTCCGTCCGCCTGACTGAGGAGGTGCAGGTCTGTCATGATCGTTCTGACACACAGGAGAGAGCGTTAAACCTTCTCTATCATCATCATCTGACAACCATTCATTACCAGTGCTGGTCATATGTAACCTGGATTACGCAATCAGACTCCAAAAATTACACATTTATACATAATACATTTCTAAAGTTACTTTTTTATTGATTACATGGTTAAATATTATTGACAAAATGGTGGTGAATTATTTCTAATTCAGTTTTAAGTGCATTTGTCATGCAGTGACAATGTGTACATTCAAACGCTTAGTTTGAGGCTAGTAAAGTGCAATTTAAAGATTTACGCAGTAGATATTTAAAGTAAGGTATATATACACAATATATGCAAAACAAATATATGTTTGTAATTTAGTGATTCTCCCAAATCTAATCATGTATTACTATGTCTTTTAACACATTAAAATGCACAAATTCATGCCATTTTGTATTTAGGCAATTCCCAAAGGTTTATGGAAAATGGATTTTCTTTCTCTCTTATTGTTATGCTACACAATTATTCAAATCAATGCAATCTTTTAATCTCAAAGTAATCAAAAAGTATGTGTAATAGATTGTTTCACTGCAGTGATGTTCTACCTCAGTATGTTTGTCTTGCTTTCCAGTAAAAATCAAGATACATTTACTTGACAAGCGAAATTACTTAAATATTAAGTATTAAGTCAAAATTATGCAAGTTTAAGTTTAAAACAAGGCAAGTATCAATATGCATTATAAAGGTATTTTTAATGCATTGATTATGCCTTTTAATGCATTGTATGATACTTTTTTATCATTTATCATTATAATAATTTAATGTAACACCTTCAGAATGTATAATGCATGACACAAGCAATTTCAGATGTAAAAAGGAAGCTGTAAATATTTTAATTTTATTTACACTTGTTTATAAAAATGGTATAATGCACTAAACATGAAGGCTTTAAGTTACCAAAATATCAGAAAAACCAACTCTACTCACAGGGAAAACAGGATTATTTTTCTTGTTTTAAGCAAAAGCTCACTTCATTTTTGATACAGTTTTTTGCTTCTCAAGTAATTGAATCTTGATTTGAGAATGCTTAGATATTTGTACTAGAAAACAAGACAGAAATAATTATTTTATTTTTTTTGCAGTGTACAAACATGTCATTGTCTCCAGAAATGGACTATAATTTGTAAGTACTACATCTACCCAGCACTGTTGATTACAGCTGGGTAGGTTTAGGGGTGGGGCTAGGGATCAGGGGGTGGAGCTGGGTAGGTTTAGGGGTGGGATTAGGGATCGGGGGTGGAGCTGGGTAGGTTTAGGGGTGGGGTTAGGGATCAGGGGGTGGAGCTGGATAGGTTTAGGGGTGGGATTAGGGATCGGGGGTGGAGCTGGGTAGGTTTAGGGGTGGGGTTAGGGATCAGGGGGTGGAGCTGGATAGGTTTAGGGGTGGGGTTAGGGAACAGGGGGTGGAGCTGGGTAGGTTTAGGGGTGGGGTTAGGGATTAGGGGGTGGAGCTGGGTAGGTTTAGGGGTGGGTTTAGGGATCAGGGGGTGGAGCTGGATAGGTTTAGGGGTGGGGTTGGGATCAGGGGTGGAGCTGGGTAGGATTAGGGGTGGGGTTAGGGATTAGGGGGTGGAGCTGGGTAGGTTTAGGGGTGGGTTTAGGGATCAGGGGGTGGAGCTGGATAGGTTTAGGGGTGGGGTTGGGATCAGGGGGTGGAGCTGGGTAGGATTAGGGATCAGGGGGTGGAGCTGGGTAGGTTTAGGGTGGGTTTAGGGATCAGGGGGTGGAGCTGGGTAGGATTAGGGATCAGGGGGTGGAGCTGGGTAGGTTTAGGGGTGGGGTTAGGGATCAGGGGGTGGAGCTGGATAGGTTTAAGGGTGGGGTTGGGACCAGGGGGTGGAGCTGGGTAGGATTAGGGATCAGGGGGTGGAGCTGGATAGGTTTAGGGGTGGGTTTAGGGATCAGGGGGTGGAGCTGGGTAGGATTAGGTATGTAAGGTGGGAAGAATTGGACCTGGATCCGACTCCTCCCCGTGGATTTCATGGTCTGCAGTGAGAACCATCTCTTTTTTTTGTTCGACAGAAGAAATAAAGTAATGAGTGAATGATGATCATTTTAATTTTTGGATGATCAACTTTGTGGGAGTTTAGACACTAGTAACACATCAACCAGTCATTTGCTAATTCAAACAGATGGGCATACGCTGAGTTTATGAGGAGTTTAATTATGACTTCATCAATGAGAGACTCCTCAGGGAGCCGTTCGCTCCAACACGGCACGGCATTTAATGTGAATCGAGCACTTCTCTTTGTGAAAACAGAGAAACAGGTGTGAATGTGCTGATTGACCGTCTGAGAGACGGCGAGATAATGAGATATTGACAGCGTCTCTCTCTGTAATTAGTCTAGCGGGTGATAACTCGAAATTAAGTGCTGCTATATTTCTATCGCACCACTATTAGTGTCTGGAGCCGTTTCATAACGGTGAAACTAGAGACGCACATCAATTCTTCATCATCCATCTCATCAAAAAACAATTCTGAATGTTATGAAACCCGTCGACGACACGCTCGACTCATATTTCAGAAGAAAACATGAAGTAAATGAAAATAATGTTTTGCTGAAAACCAATTTTAGGTTTAAGTTGTTTTGGGTTTTTTTTTAGCATTTTGACAATTAATCATATAAATAGCATAGTTTTTGCTGAAGTCTGGAGTAAGAAAAAGGTTTAAAAAGAAAAATAAATTAATACTTTTATTCAGTGAGGATGCATTCAATTGATCAAAAGTGACATTAAAGACATTCATGAGGATACAAAAGATTTCCATTTCATATAAATGCTGTTCTTTTGAACTTTACATTCTATAAAAAAGCTCTGATTAAGTAGAAAAGACTGTTTTTAACATTGATAATAATAATAAATTAACAATCATAATTAATAAGTGAGCACTATGACAATAATTAAGCAGAAGGATCATGTGACAGGGGAGACTGGCGTAATGATGATGAAAATTGCCATTATAGAGTAATTACATTTTAACATATATTAAAATTTAAATCACTTTCAAAGTGTTTATTGTAATAAAATCTCACAATATTACAGTTTTTTACAGTATTTTTGTTTGGTGAGCAGAAGATACTTCTTTCAAAAACGTTTATAAATATTACTCTAAACTCAACTTTTTTATAATTATTATTCTTCATAATGCTGATTCGTGCAAGCCGGTCATGTTTGAGCCTAATTCTAATTAAATACAATACGGAAAACACATCCTTAATAAATACATACCACATTTTTTCTTTTTGTGTGTGTGTGTGTGTGTGTGCATTACATTAAAAATAATTCAGAGACTAAATGTGCTTTTGTCACAATGCAAAAAACAAAACAAACTTTTATTATATTCTTAATGCAAATGTAATGTAGTTTTGACCACGGGGTCAAACACGGTTTGAGAGATTCAATTTCTGAGAGTCACAAATGAGATAAGATCACAAATCTTAATTGTTTCTTCAAGAAATATTAAGGGTAAATGAGAGCTAATTGTAGATTTTAGATGTGAAATGCATGTATTTTTTTATTTCTCGTAAAGAATTAAAGCAATGAAGCCCCTTTTTGGGTGGAAGCAAAAACATTTTTAACGTGTGTATCTTTAAATGCAAATGAGCTGTTGCTCCCCGCCCCCTTTCCAGAAGAGGGCGGAGCCTTTACAGCTCATGCCTCAGATACTCCGGCAACAACAAACAAGATAAAAAAAAATCAGTTTTATTTGCTTGTTTTTGATTATCATCAGTATCATGGTCTTCGTCATCATTAAAATTTATTATTTGCATACATTTAATAGCAATATCAATTTAAAATGTTGATATGTGGTTTTCGGAGCAAAGCATTCCTGAATGGGAGACCCTGTATTAGATATATGGGGATAATAATGGATGTGGAGTGGATGGGTTTTTACCATAACAACACACCACAGACACATAATTATGTTAAAAAAAAAACAATTTTAAAGGTGATTTTTGCACAATAGGTCCCCTTTAGAGACAAAGTTGAACTGAATGAAACATCCAGCGGTTATAATAGCGCTATGCCTGACCTCTGTTGGTGACCCAGGTCCTGCAGGAGTGTGTCAGTGTGTTTCTGTCTGTCAGTCGGGTTGATGTGACTCAGCTTCTGGATCTCGCTCCGAATGAAATACCACAGCTCTTTCACTCCATTCCCCACCTTCCTCCGCAATTCTTCCTGTTCTCGACCCGGGCCGACTGAGGAAGAGAATGAGAGATTCAAAAGTGCTCTAATTAAGGAATAAGGTCTGAGAGGATGTGATGTAATGTGAAGATAATCGCTGCTTAAGTGTTGAAGACTGCAGTTGACTTAGCCGCTATTACTGCTGACATAGTGCTTTATATAAAAAGATGGCAGGGCGATTTGTAATAGTGTGTGAGTTTTGAAGGAAATTGCATAAAAGGTTAGAGTTGCTGTCGATCTCCCCTACAGATTTAGACTGTCCTCTTCTTGAGTCTGTTCTCATTCGTCTCTCGCTCTTTGGCTCTTATGTAATACGTTCAGTTCAGTGCTTCCCTCCAGGGTATAATGCCAGCGGGACAGGTGACCCTGAATGAAAGATCGGTCCCGATCCCTAGTGAGCTGCCCTGTTATGCTGACTACATAGGCAGCATCCTAATGGAAATGAAACCTTAACTGCACAATCGTGCTTCTCACAGTTAGCATGTTGCCAAACTAAGGACATGATGCTCTATAATAAAGATAAGCAAATAAATGGCAATCTCAAATATTAGGTTCAATTATTTTTATTTTTATTTGTAGCATTTATATAGTTAAATCATTTTTCACTCTTTTGTTCAATCTCAGTTTCACTCTTGACACGCAAATTCAACAAAGTGGTCAAGGGTTGTAACGGTATGAGATTTTCACGGTATGATAATAGTCTCAGAAAATATCACGGTTTCACGGTATTAAAGAAATATTATTTATTATTACTACAGTGTAAAAAAATATTTTCAAGATTTGTTATCACAACATATTTTATTTAGTCAAATAAACTTTATAATAATTTATTTAGTTAGTTGAGATAACGTATTATTTTGAGTTGTATTAACTCACTTTTTCCAGTTCAATCAACTTAAAATTTTAAGGCAACCCAATCTCAACATTTTTTCTTTTGTCAAATCAACTTAAATAATTTATTTAGTTCAGATAACATATCATTTTGAGTTTCTGATGATTAAATCATTCTCCTTCATTGTATTAACTCACTTTTTCCAGTTCAATGAACTTAAAATTTTAAGGCCACCAGGTTACTTACTTTTTTAAGTTAAACCATCAATATTCAATATTTTTTACAGTGTATAATCATAAGCTACAATGACCCTAAAATGAATGAAAACAGATAGGGTTTTTTGGTTGAACACATGGTTTATTAAAACAAACTTTTTAATGAAAAAAGTATACCTTTTTGGAAAAATAAGAAAGAAAAAATAAATCTCCCATTTGAACAAACATGTTTAATCAATTTGAATTCATAAAACGTATTTTTATGATAGAGACAATAGAGTCTTACGAAATTAATTTTATTTCCACAGAAATTCTGGGTTTCTGCCGGTGTAACAGCTCAGTAATGGCGTCGCCACAAGATGGCAGCCTACACAGAACGCTCGTCGGATTCGTCTATTGGCCAGCATCACACACATGACCAGTGTAGGCCAATCGTGAGGCTATATCCTGACGTACAACCCAGAAGTTACGACTCACTGAGGCCCACACAAGTAATAAATGACAAGCTATATTCTGTTGTAATTTAATTCGGTAAATTAATTATTGATTAAGTTTTGGTGCATCAATGTTGCGCTGTACTTTTGCATGTAAAATGCAAATCCTGTCTGCAGTGTGGCCTTTCTGCAGTTATTTATGTTTTATTGATCCGAAATGTTTTTATATATTTTCTTCTACATCTTTGTATGAGGTTCTGTACATTTGTTGTTTCAATAAGCACTATCACTATGGCTACGAATCTTCTCAGGTGCTGTGTATGTGGGCAGCTCACTAGGGGTTTCGAACACAGCTGGTTTATCCTCTAATCCGTCCTCTCATTACAGCAGAGGTGACCTGAGTGAGACACACAGCATCTATCGGTCCTTTTATAGGCTCTTTAAGGACGATTCTTATATATCTGTTACCTCTGGCCCAGGGTGATGATAATGATGTTGGTAGTTATTTTTGGCAGATCCTGCAGCAAGGAAATTTCACCCATCCTGACCCTGATGATTATGCATGCAGAGACTTGAATACACAGACATAAATGCACATGAACGTGTGCAAACATTCAAACTCTCTCTTGAATATATATTGCAGCATCAACTCTTTTCTCAGTCTCTGAAACGGTTTGATCAGGAACGGCCAGAGGCGGACAGAGTACACAGCTTTATTACTTGAGTAAAAGTACAGATACCCCTTGCTAAATTTTACTCAAGTACAAGTAAAAGTACTACAGTCAGATGTCTACTTAAGTACTTGTTTTTAAAAGTAATTGAGGATCAAGAGTACATTTTCTAAATATTACATTACTACTGCCACAGTGCTTACATTTACGAGTACAGAAAACGTCCTACATGGAGTTATGAAAAATTTTCATGTTAATGCTTTGAAGAATGTAAAAGGAATTGAAAGTAAAATTAAGTCGTTTTCATCTTTTTTTTTCTCCATGTTGCTTTATTTAACATTTAAGAAAATTTCAGAAAATTCTGAAAATTGAAATAGTGTGGCGAGGTGGAGGGATGGACCTGCTGCGTCTTTATCCATGGTTTCGTCTCTTATCCAAGGCTGTATCCACATTAATCCGGATACATTTGAAAACTGAGTTTTCGTTTAAAAACGCTCTCCGTCCACACTAGCATTTTCATCCGTTTTCCGACATTTCAGTGTGGATGAGAAACTTCTAAATTCGCTTTACTGCGCATACGTGAAACTTCACAAAAGCTCACTGAGATAATAATGTTATCGCACAATAACAGGATAATTTTATTTAGCAAAATATCTCACCATCACTGATGCATCCAGGTCGCATTCAGTCACCCTATGTTTGGTCTAAAACGCAACTGTAAGTACATTATCTGTCATCTTTTGTAGTGCTATGAAGAATAGCACATATTAAAGGGTTAGTTCACCCAAAAATGAAAATTCTGTCAGTATTTACTCACCCTCATGTTGTTCCAACCCCGTAAGACCTTCGTTCATCTTCGGAACACAAATTAAGATATTTAAGATATTAAGATCACTCCTGCATACTAGTCCATAGGCTTCTTGAGGGACTGGCTCTTGCTGTCCCCGAAAAGTCATTAAAGACATCGTTAAAATAGTCCAAGTGACTACAGGGGCTCAATCTTAAGTTTATCAAAGGTCGAGAACACTTTTGTGCGCAAAAAAACAACAAAAATAACGACTTTATTTCAACTATTCACTTCCTTCTCCATGAGCCTGTAGTCAGTTAACGTAGTGTGATTGCGTAAAGCTACGTCACACGTAGACTCACTATTGGCCGACGCTGGTCATGTGTGTGTGTGATGCGTGTGACGTACAATAACAGAAGCTTACCCTATTAAACTAGTAACCTGACTCGCGCAGAGGGAGAAATAAACGAATAGTTGAAATAAAGTCGTTATTTTTGTTGTTTTTTTTGCGCACAAAAGTGTTCTCGTCGTTTGATAAACTCAAGATTGAGCCGCTGTAGTCACTTTTTTAACGATGTCTTTAATGACTTTTCGGGGACAGCAAGAGCCAGTCCCTCAAGAAGCCTATGGACTGTATGCAGGAGCGATCTTAATATCTTAAATATCTTAATTTGTGTTGTGAAGATGAATGAAGGTCTTACGGGGTTGGAACAACATGAGGGTGAGTAAATACTGACAGAATTTTCATTTTTGGGTGAACTAACCCTTTAAGTAACATAGAAAGTAACATATTTTAGCAATAGTGTAAAAATGAACAACACAACAGGCACAATACCGATAAACATGAATATCTATTGGTACTACATGGATCACATGACTTAACTTACGTCATCGTTTTGAAATACCTCCGGTTTCACTGTCTCACTACAACGCGAAAACACCGTTTTCAAATTTATCCACTTTGGAGAGCGCTTTCCAAGCGATACGTTTTTGTTGACTTAAAACGGCATCTCAGTGTGGACGGAGGCCAAAACGGAGAGAAAAATATACGTTTTCAAACGAAAACGTATTAGCGTGGACATGGCCTAAATCTGACTTTGGCGGAAAGCTGAAGGTGATTGCTGATAGGCTGTCCCAATCAGTGGCGCCTACACAATCCAATCACGTTTGAGAGGGAAACAATAAAACCCAACTGTTTAACTCTGGGGAAGTGGTAAAATGAGGCTATTTCCAAAAAAAGTGGAGTATCCCTTTAAGAAAGGGAGACCTAGTCCTGTTTATCTCTTCACTTGCCTTCTCCAGATAATCTCTGAAAGCTGTGGATCTTCTGTTTGGCCCGGCTTAGCTGTTCCTCAAGAGAGCGGAGTCTTCCTGACGATATTGGCCCATCCGACTGTCCTTCCGGCATCCTGCAAAACACACACGGTTTGTTAGCGAACCGCTTCCGCAGCTTAGAGTTAGCAAACAGCGGATCAGTCTGCTCTTCTCACGCCGTCTATGAAGAAAGCAATCAGCGACACGGCAAACGACGTTGACTCACCGGAGCTTGATTATGAATTGGCCATGAATAAAATAATCATAAATGTCTGCGGTGGTGTTCAACAGCGTTTAGTGCCCTGCATAAATTTGCTGCCCATACGTTCGTCTAAACTCAAACGCATAATTGCTAATTACACTTTGGCAGTGTTTGTTTCTACTCAGCTGATTTAGATGAAATCACCCCTTGACTAATGAGCGTTTGGGAAACTCTGCACGACACAAACAACTGCTCGTTTAGGATCACATGTTATCATATTGAGCTTTTATTAATGTTTACTGAATATTTATATCCGTTTTTAAGGGGCGGTAAACGGGTCAATATGAGTCCAAGTGCTAAAACCACTGAGTAGATGGCTTATACTAAGTATTAATATGGTAATCATGCATTAATATTAATACTTCTGCTGAATGCATATGCATGAGGGTATATATGCAAGGGAACAAAGATTAGCGTGGAGAAATCAATAGAGCATGTTAGCACAATTTGCGAGAGCGAAGGAGGGAATGCTAATTGATTCAAAAGATGCAAAAAGGGCTTTTAATTTTAAAGAAAATGACAAAAACAACCACAAGTGGTGAGGACACCAGTCTGCTTTCATACGCAAAAAGAAAAAGCAAGGCATTAGACAGACAACACCGTTTAATTGTTTGGGGTAGGGCTGTCAAACGATTAATCGTGATTAATCGCATCCAAAATAAAAGTTTGTGTTTACATAATATATGTGGGTGCACTGTGTATAATTATTTTATATATATAAATACACACACATGCTTATATATATATTTAAGAAATATTTTCAAGTATATAGATTTATATATAATTTATATTATATATAAATATAAATATTTTATGGATAATAATATTTATTCTTAATGTGTGTGTGTATTTATGTACACTGTAAAAAAAAAATCCGTTAAATTTACGGGAAAACTCCGGCAGCTGTGGTTACCAGAGTTTTCCTGTTAAAAGTACGGTAGCAACATTTTAGGTTTTACAGACTTTGACCGTATTTAATTTTACAGCAATAAACCGTATTTCATTATTTGATATAATGTTGATTTACTGACATTTTGAAGTATTAATATCTGTTTTATTCAATTGTAAGACACCGACAGCCATCAATCACATCAATAATGAGAGTCAAATGATCAATCAAAGCTCATCATCATCAGCTCTTCCACAAGAGAGTTCATACAGCTGCACAGTGTCATTCACACAAACATTAAACACCATCATGGTAACATGTTGAAATTTTAAAAATGAAATAAGAATTAATTTAACAGCATTAAATGTAACATAAAACCCTAATGAACATAACTTTTAAGAAAAAAACTAAGAAAATTATGAATAAACAGTTAAAATACATTAAATGTGAAGTGTCACGCAGGGAATTGTGGGAAAGTCAATTTACATTTTTTCATTGTAAATTATACGACTTCTTTTTCACTTCCAAAAACTGTAAATTTAACAGTATTTTACGGTAAAACTACATTAAATGTACCATTATATATATATCACAGTTATTTACCGTATATAGTAAGGAAACTTTCTGTTAACCAATTAACAGTTTTTCACTGTAGCATTTTTACAGTCTTTTACTGTTAAAATCACGGTCATTTTTTACAGTGTGTGTATATATGAAGAGTTCAGATGCAAAAGCCTCTAAATGCCATTTGAAATTTGCTTCTTTAATGATGATTTTTATCAAGCTTGTATATTTAAGCTCAGTAATTTCACTTAAATGGCAATGCTAATTAATTGTTATTTAAGTGAAATTACTGAACTTAAATATACAAGTTTGATAAAAATCATTAAAGAAGAAAATTTCAAATGGCATTTAGAGGCTTTTGCATCTGAACTCTTCATATATATATATATATATATATATATATATATATACAAAATAATTATACACAGTACACCCACATATATTATGTAAACACAAAATTTTATTTTGGATGCGATTAATCGTGTGACAGCCCTAGTTTGGGGTCAGCAAGGCTTTTTTTTAAAAAAAGAAATAAATTAATTCTTTATGAATCACATTTATTCTTAAAGGGTTAGTTCACCCAAAAATGAAAATGATGTTATTAATGACTCTCCCTCATGTCGTCCCAAGCCCGTCAGACCTCCATTCATCTCAACAAAGTTTAAGATATTTTAGATTTAATCCGAGAGCTTTTTTTTTAATTGAATCATTCATTAAAGAGATTCGATCAAAAACACTGATTCATCCAGTAATGAAACAAATGAAGTATTTATGAGTGAGTCATTGAATCATTCATTCAAACTGATATAACTGAACATCAGAACCTCTAGTAAAGTACATGTTTTTGTTCTGTGGTCTATTCAGAACTGTGTGAGAATTGTGATTTATATATATATATATATATTTTTTTTTTTTAAATCCAGAATAATGCAGCAGTAGTTCATCTCCATCTGACACGAGCATCAGACAGGGCAGACCTTCAGAACTGCTGATGGAGAGCAAAACAGAGTCTGATACAGGAGGAACCGGCGGCCAAATGACATTACAGCGAGTGAATTACTGTCAGTCACCGACTCACTGCGAGAGGAAATTACAAGAGTCGCAAGATTAGTCCGGAGACTGAAGCCTGAAGATCACACAGATTTTGCTGATGAAAAAGAGGCAAGGGAGATGTGAATACTGCAAAATGATTAGTGAATTTGAACAGACTTCTATACAGTAAATCCTGTTACTTTAAGCAATCAGGCCTGGTGGATGATGAAATAGGTGGAAAAATCCCACACACTTACATTGAAGAAGGGACCAGAGCAGTATCTAGACTTGAGGAGGGACCCTGTTCAATTGGACCAGGAAGAAACCACTAAGAGTAACTGCATTGCAACATGTTCAAATCAACCACAACAGCCTAGAAACTGTGTGTGAATGTGTTTAACTCACCCACTTGACTACAGTAATCACTTAGCAATATACTAAAATCACTCAAAACACCTTAGCAAGTGCATGAGAACATGCTAAAGAACAACTAACTAGCCAAGAACACCCTAGTAGAGCGAGACCGATATTATCGGCCGATATTAGGCATTTTCCAAACTATCGGTATCCGCAGTTATAATGGCCGATAAATGAATATTTCAAAAATAAAATGAAAACGGACGAAACACGCTTGAACCATGTCATGAGTGTTGGAGTTGTATTGTTTGTCCACCAGAGGGCACTCTACACCATCCCTGTTGGCAAACCTCGTTGAGTTGGTCACGAGACATAGATTGCTTGAATAACAATTAAAAGAACATCCCCATCAGTTCTCTTAACTCAAATAAGCATGACAACATTTGTGATTATCATGTCCAGCTTTGCTGCTGTTAAATAAGCCGAGAGGTGAAGCGAAATTAGCTAGTAATAGTTACGTTACGTTGTTACAGTGTAGTTGACTGACTGTCCTTTTAACTTTTGAGTATTTCTTTGACAGCACGTGACAGTTAAAGCAATGAGACGTATCATCTCTCCTCGGCTTGTTATATTGAAAATGTATGTTTTACGATTTGCAGTATGACGTTATCCATTGTTAAATTATGGCTCATCATAGACTAGCTAACCATAAAGCTAGCTAATGACACTATCATCAGTCTGTTCTGTTGGGACAATAAAAGAAACAAGTTTCTTTTTAAAATGCATTATCATATTGTTTTAGTTAAAACTCTTAAATAACTACAAATAAGTAATGTTAGGGAAATCTGTTAATGTTTTGTTGCGCGTTTCAGAAAAAAAAAATAATAAAATAATCGGCCGATATATCGGATTTTAAAAACCAAAAAATATTTGTATCGGTATCGGCCTTCAAAATCCTTTATCGGTCGGGCTCTACACCCTAATAACTGCATAGCAAAATGCTAAAGCCACTTAGCACACACTGAAAAAAATAATATGCTTTATCTAATCAATACATATTACAAGCAATATTATTAATTAAATTGTACAAATTAGAATTAATTAGAATGTTAATTTGATGAACTATTACTCAATTCTAATTTGTTCAATTTCATAAATAATATTGCTTGTAATCTGTTGCCACAATTTTATTAATTAGATAAAACACATTCATTTTTACAGTGCACTAGCAAACACATAACAACGTGGCAAAAGCACTGGCAATCATCCTCAAAGCCCCACTGAAGTGCCTTGGAACGTAATTTCCACATAACATTGAAACAGGAAGCTAAGGCGGGACACATTGAATGGCTCCTCCCCCTTTCCAAATAGCCAATAGCGTTTAGTTTAGCTCACAGACTGCAATTCGTACTTGACAGCACCATTGAAGCGAATCCAAGCGCTGATGGTACGTTAAATTAAAAAAATAAATAAATAAATTTGGAAAACAAAATAAAACTCGCATCTCTAACACATATCGCTCCGTGATTATGAACGGTCCCTTTGGCCTGGTGGTATTTATAGCAGAGGGGGCGGAGCTTTAGATTCTAGAGAGCATTTGATTGGACAGAAGAAACTGAAGTCCGCGGTGATGTCATCAAAATCCATGATCCATTTTAGCAAAAGTGAGAGACTAAGTTTTGAATGCTTGTATCTCCTGTTGTTTTAAAAGTGAACTACTCCTTTAAGGCTAACATATTCAATCTAAAAGCTAAAAAAACTTACATTTTGATTTCAGAGGGCCTTCATGTGAACACAAAACTGTGATTGGTCGCTTGTTATGTCAGTCAGATGGTCTCCTCCTATCCAGAATAAGCTGAATGTGGACTGACCTTTAAGCGGATAGTCTAAACTAAAGTCTGGCCACGCATACTAAGAGGAATAGCACAATATTCTTAATCATAAAAGTGTTTCTAGTGCAGGGAAGCTGTTTTCTTTTCTATTTTATCGTT